CTCACCTGAGCAGCCCCAACTTACCTGGGCAGCCCTGTGTGGTGCAGGTGGAGGAGCTGTCACATCAAAGGCTCCCTGAAGGCTCTGTTCTGTACCAAATGATGTGAGCACTCTGCCAGTGGGGCTGGTGGAGCTTTGGGTGCAMGACCTTCCCCAGCCAGGCTGTGTTCATGTACTGYTGAGGATCTGCACACTGAMTTACCCCCCACACCCCTGGCCTCGRGCTCTGGGAGYTGTTTGCTGCRTGCAAGGGGGATGTTKTTGGAGYATAGCAGGAAAGTTGGGAAGGACCAGAGCACCCATCTGCCAGTTCATGGTTTGGCAGGAGGGGTTTCAGGAGGCTGCTGGGAGCTCTTGCTCTCATTTCCATGTGAGTCCAGGTGTTTTCAGGCTGGTTGGAGCTGAGGCTGGTTTCTGAGTAGGTTTGATACCTTTGCTTCTCTCCTGGAACAGCCGTGTCTGTCACCCCTGGGGTTAGCAGAGCAGTTCGGATTTGCTGCTCAAGTTGGGAGAAGGAAAATCCAGTTTCCCTCATGTCAGTGAGCAGTGCTGCTCAAAGCTGTGGAGGAAATGTGTGGAGTTTCTTTCCTTGACTTTGGTCTGCCTTTYCAATTTTTAATAAGAGCTGGTTGGAAGATCTGTAAGGACTCGTGACCCTTCCCGTTGCTTGTGGCTTTTGAGGATGACAATAGACTCTCTCTTCTCAATTCATTCTCTTTTGCATGGTGTTCATTTTCTTTTCAAAATATGCTTCCCTAAATGAACATTTTAACTTCTGTATTCACTTTTTAAATTTTACTGTGTATGTGTTTGGKTTTATCCATGTTATTGCTGGAATAACTGCCATCTAAAGTTACCTAACTTCTCCTTCTTTCTGTTGCTAAAATGAAATGTTGATTCTGAGTGAAGGCTGTGATCCCTCTGTCCCAGTTTGAGTTCAAGTCCTTGTCCTAGTTTGAGGTAGTCCTTATCTATATTAGTCTGTAGCAGCACAAGTATTAAAGCTGACAGGTACCAACACTTGTCATGCTCGCTGTTGTCTGCATGAAATTAGAAGTGACTGGAGCATTGGGCATTGGGCATTGTTTGTGGCAGAGTGGCAGCAGACAACACGGCACTCTGGGTCACAGCAGCCTCTTCAGAACAAACCCTCTTATTYCTGGCAGGTTGTTGAGAAGTGCTGCAGTCAGTCTTAGAGAACTGGGAACTCCACATATGTTCTAAGGTTCACCTTTTAGAAGGTGTGTGCCCTTTTCAAACGGGTGTTGGTGCTCATGGAGAGTGKTTTTTTTGCTTAGGAATGAGGGGGTTTTATCAGTTAAGGCAACTGGTGAACATCATAGGTTAGAAATAGATGTCTTAAACTTATTATAGAGTGACTTTGGATGAAACCTCCACAATCATCTGTGAAACTCCACGTCATTTCATTTTTCACTTAGAGCATTCTTCACATCCTGACCTTTAAATACTTAGTAAATGTCAAATTTTATAACATTGCAGGAGTGTTAGTTGTGCTTTCTTCATGGGAGTCAAAAGCCAGATAAGCTGTGCTTGATCTGTGATCAAACAGGCAATTGGTGCCAATATCAAAAATAGTCCCTCATGACAGTACTTTGATCTGGTTGCTGGAACTTTTTTTCCCCCTCTTCTAAACACGCTTTATAGATAATCTTTCCTGTTTCATGTGTTTTGTCAGTGATTTAGAACACAGATATTGATATCTTTCAGTGCTAAAATAGGAAGACTTTTTAAAAATACTGCAGGGCCCACAGATGAATGATGAGATGATGGCCTTGAACTCCTCYTAGTTGGTCATATCCAGTGCGAGTGGTGACTCAAAGTCGCTGTCCCTTGCCCTGTGTACTCAGACTTCACAAAAATGAATGCAGTGTGTGAAAGTTCTTCATTCTAACATGCTATTTCATTTCTGTTTCACAAGTGTAGAAGCAAATAAAGGTGTCATGCAGTGCAGAATTAGATGRATGAGTCTGAGCCTCTCTGAGATAGGAGAGTTTGCCCAGCTGGCCTGGAATCAGCATCCTTCAAACGTGTCTGTAGCCCTCCTGGGTGGGATTTGCACCTTTAGTAGTGCAGGTCTTAGAGCAAAGATTTGGGTGTTCCACCACAGTCCTCTTGCCCAGCGGTAATCTGTAGTAGATGCAGGCTTTGAGCCTAATAGAGCAAAGTAAAATAGCTGAAATTCCAACCCACATTTTCCTTAGCTCAGATGGAAGGAAATAAAAGCTGTCCYGAGGAACAGATGGTGTTGCTGCAGGCTGCTTTTTGCATCTGACCCCAACTTATTTTCAGCTTTGAAACCTGAACCTGCTGTTCTTGGATGTCTTCAGTAATTTTTCTTTATTAAAACAAGTCGTACCGTGAGCAGCAGAGCTAGTAAAGCTTCATTTCCTCCAGATTTTTGTTCCTTGTCCTGAGCTCCCAGCCCACCCCTCCGGGTGCRGTGTGGGTTTGAAGTGTGTGCTGCTCAGGCAGCTGGCTCTGGCAGTGTCTGTGGCTGATGTGCTCTTGCCAGAGCTGCTTTTTCCTTCTCCCCTGGACACTGGACACTGATTTGGATCAGCAGAGCAGGGAAAAGCTCATTTTGCCAGCTCTGTGTGTCCTCTGTTGTACCTGAGCGTGCCTCTCCCAGGGAATCCTGTGGTGTGATTGCCCTGCTTTGTTCCACACCTGCAGGCAGAACAGTTGGTGCTGGTGCTCTCCTGCTCCTGTTGATGGGTTCAGTAGCATCCTCCAAGAGTTCTCCTTGGATCCTCTGAGGATTCTCCATGTACTCTGAGGATTGCAGCACAGGTTCCCTGTGCAGCATTTCCAGTGCTTAGAGGGGCACAAAATCAATTGTGCTGTCTCTGTCACACTCACTGTCCTGGCCCAGGAGGGCAGAGCATTCTCAATGTATTTATTATCGAGGAGAAAATTCCTGAGTCATCTGCTGCAAATRAAGATTTACACCCTGCTGCAGTGCTGGGTTGAGCCAGTGACTGTGTCCCAAGAAAATGCTCTTGGCCCATATGAAAGGAGGAGATGGGGAGCTTGCCCGGAGAGGAGCCTGGCAGTTGTGTTGCTTTTGTTAGTTATAACAGCTATAGGTTATTTTCTCAGGTGTCTTGGGCAACTTTCACATCAGAAGTTTGTGTGAGACTGTGAATTCTATTTCCACGCTTGTTTGTTCCGTTGTGCTGAGACTGACACTCCTCTTGGTGTGGGAATTTAGTGCTCTATCAAAAACAGGTACATGATAATCCTGTCGGTGTTGGGTGTCCTGTATGGTGTCTTTAAAATCCACTGTAGCAGGAAAATGGCTGAGGGGAGCATAGCCCCCCAGGAGCAGTGGCTGATGTTCTTACTTTGCAGGCTTTGGTAAGAACTTGCCCTATAAAATCAGCCCAAGGTTTGTTTGAACCAAACCATTCTTTTATGTCGCCATTTACAATTGCACACGAGAAGTTCATGCGTGAAGCAAAACTTAGAGCTTTCTCGAGCTGTCTGATGATAATTCAACATGATTTCTAGAGCACATGTTTGTCTTGGCATTGTTTTTTGTGCCTTTTTGGGCAAATAAGACCAGGCAGGACAGAGCAGGAGGATCCTGGTTTGCAGACAGCGTTATTTCCGTTGTCTCTCTCTACCAGCACAGAAGGAAGGGCTCCTCACCTGCTTCTGCTACTTCCAGCACAGTTCTGGAGCTGGGATAAACTGCCTGGGAGGCTGGCTGAGCAGAATTCATCCTTCGTTTCCAGGTTGGCCAGTTGCCTGGAGATAAATTTATTTCTAGTCAGACTTGAGAGTTCACTAAACCATCACAACAACATCCCTGGCTTTTGATTCAGTGCCTACAGGTAAGGAGAGCAGAAATCCAACAGCCTTTTCCAAGAAACAGTGAAGAATTGGCTGAAACCAGTTATTTTCCAGAAACATTTGATTATGTTTCACCTTTTAATGCATTCATGTCCTTATGTTGTGAAGGTGGAAGCCTCCAGTTCCTCCCTGTGTTACTGCTGCCTATTGAACATGGCTTAGCTAAAAATACATCGCAGTGCTGAAGGAGTTCCTTGAGGGAAATGCATTTGAAGCATTTACATTGCAGCTGCCTTCAGAGAAGGCTGGGCTCAGGTCAGCAGGGTTGGCAGAGGAGGTGGAATCGCTCACCCGCAAAGGTCAGGTCAGCTGTGCCCGGTCCATCCTGCGCACGCGGGCACCGACCTTCATGGAATTGCTGCTCCTTCATGGAATTGCTGCCTGCTCCAGAAATAGCCCCAGGGGTCACAGTCAGTGGGGCACCTCTGGGCTGAGCAGGATGTCAGAAGTACTGATGAGACAATAAAGCTTGTGTCCAAAAATGAAACAAAAGATTCAGTGATTCACTTCCTAGACATGGAGCTCRGTGAGAGCGTTACCAAAAGGATTTAGAGATTTCTGTGGCTGCTTCTGCTCCTGGGGAAGTTCCACATCTGCTCCTGTTGGGAACAGGAATGAGGTGTGCTCTGGCTGGATTGTTTGGTACCTGTGTATGTTCATTCCATAGGCTGGAACTTAACCAGGAAAATTTTCTCATTAATGAAAGTTCTTGCTTTCTGACTTCACGAGACTGTACAGCAGCTGATCAGTAGGACAGAGAATTTGTCTTAGCATTAACATGACCCAAACATTTTTTTTTTTCTTTTTTTCAAAAAGAGAAGCCTGACATAATCAATCTCTGTATCTCATCTGCAAGAGGCATTTTTTCCCTGGGCTGTTTGGGATGTGTTCCAGCTGCTGGAGACGGAGCCGACTCTACCTCCCAGTTGTGGCTGGGTCGTGTGCCAGGCTGTGTGGGTTGGTTCAGACCTGTTAAGTCATGGAGCGAGATCTCATCTTGTCTGTAGTACTTGAGTTCCAACCATTTACAGTCATAAAAAGGARGGAATATAAAGCAGGGCAGAAGAGTGGGCTGGAATTTTGCACGGACAGCTGAGGAGGGAGGGGAGTGAGCCAGCAGGGAGGTACCAAAAGAGACACCAAATGTGATGGAGTGCTACATCCTCAGTAGTATTCAAATAGACAAAACTGTTACTTAGATCTCTTCATTTGTTCTCTTCTTGATTCAAGAGCTTTATTTCAGTGTGCATCTGCCCTTTGTGATAGATACAAAACCCTCTTGTTTCCACTGCTGGAGCCACATTACAGCATTTTGTGTTTATATTGGCTTGTTCCAAGTGTGTGCAGGACACCCCTGAAATACCTGGGAGCTGTCAAATTGCTCTGAGGGTGTAACACATACATGTCTTCCACAWAATTTATTTTCTTTAACTCTGATTTTGAAGGGGCAAAACTGCTAAACCCCAAAGCCAATGTTCCCTGTTCTGAGGCTGTAATGACCTGCAGGAGAGATTCCGGTCACGAGGAGCATATTGGTATGCAAGGAGTAACTCCTCAAATATTTCTTCTTCCTCCAGAATGAATTCAAAATTGTTTGAATGTAGGAAAACAAGAAAAAAAAAATCCTGGGAATGCTTGGGTGGTGATCGCTCGGGATACATTTGTGTCGTTTGTCTTGTGACTGTGTTGGTTTAAGATTAGSAGAATTTTAGAGCGTTTGCTTCCTGTCCTAAAGGAACTGGTTCTGCACAACAAGTAGGAAACACTACTGAGCTGTTGTTAATGCATATTTCTTTTCTCTTTGAACTTCCCTAGGCTGGAGTGAAAGGGACGTTAGGAAGATTAGTGGGAATWTTCGAGGTAAGTTTCAGACATGGGCGCTGGGAAATTTTGTTGCAAAAAAATCRTCTTGGAGTAACAGTGGCCCTGGAGGGTTGTGGAGTGAGTGGGTGCTGGTTTGGTGCAAACTTCAAAGTCCTGGTAAATAAAAACACACCCGCTCAGCAATTCTGCTCTTTGCAATGGGCACTTCAGTGAAATCAGTGGTGATAAGGGTGTGACTGGATATTCTCGGTGCTGCCAAAGGCCACCCTCAGTGGGGAGTGGGGTCCCCCCTTTCCTCTGTAGCATTCACAGCCACACCTGGCACAGTCAGCAGGTACTGGACACGCCTCTTCTCACTGTTGTACTGTCACCCTTTCAGAGCTGTGTGAAATAAGTAAAAATCTTCCTAGCTGAGGAGCTAATTTATAAGCCCATCAGTCCACAAACCACTGCTCCACAGATCAGAAACTACACTTTTGGGCTCCAGTCTCTATTAACACTACCAGATCTCTCTGATTTAAAACAAAACAGATTTTAGTAGCTAAGAATGAGCTGTGATGTGGGAGGAGCCGCACCCAGAGTGGGTAATTCACATTTTCCAGTGGCCCGGTGCCCTCCTGCCTGTAGARRTTTGTTGTTGCTCTGGGAGGTTGGYTGTTACTYTGYCCCCTTTGCCTTCCAGAACCGGGACAGGAAGCACAGGACCTATGTTTACGTACTCATCGTCACCGAAGTGTTGGAGGACTGGGAGGACTCTGTCAATATTGGTAAGCTTGGTKCTTGCTGTCTTAACTGATGGAGACAAACCACAGGTCAGCTCAGCATCCATGTGGGATCTGGGATCTGTGGGAATGGTCAGGAAGAGTCACAGTGGTGTGTTCATGTCCTTTCGTTGCATGGGGAAAAAACTGTGGTCAAATTGATGTGTTTGTCATCTCTGTGGCCCAGGAGAGGCCAAGTAAGTGTGCAACTGCCTCTGCAGGAATTTTGAGTTTAATTATTGCACTGGAAAGTACCAAGCAAAAAGTATGAATATCCTGTCTGAGACTAGAAGAAATACGTTTGGGCAGTGTGTGTTAATCATTCCCTGTTATCTCTGTGATCTTTGTGTTTAAATTGATTCCCAAATGGAAATGAACCTGTGGTTGCCACAAAGTTTGTGATGACACTGCARCAAATGGAAAATTACTTTCCTCAGGCTCTTTATGGAAAGAGTAAGAACTGAGAGTTGTCCACAGRAAACTGAAATTCACTTGCAAACTGATGGAAATTGGGTGGTGCTTGGTGTGTGTTGTGGCTTGTCTTAAAATGAGCATCTGGCTTGAATAGAAATTKCAGAAATAGCAAAGTAAATGTGGCGGGTTTTAATTAGGAAATGCAAGACATGGGGGTGTAGTGCCCTAAACAAACACCTGGGGATGGGGAGCTGTCAATGTGGGGTTGGAGGGGAGRCCTTTGAGATCAGAGAACACTGTTCTGTTGCACCTACTCATTTCTGTCTTTGCCCTCAGGAAGGAAAAGGGAATGGTTTAAGATAGAAGATGCCATAAAAGTTCTGCAGTATCATAAACCAGTGCAGGCCTCATATTTTGAGACCTTGAGGCAAGGCTGTCTGGCCAACAACGGCACCCCGGTCATGACCACGCCGTACTCCGAGAGTTCCGTGTCCGACATCAGATGACTGACGACGTCCCTGCGAGAGCAATTCCCAAAAGCAGACTGAGACCTGGATTTCCCTCCCCTCCCCGTTTCCATGCCTCCTCCCTCACACCAGGCATGGGCAGCCGCCTGGGGCAGAGCAAGTGTTCAGAGTGCTGCGATTTAGTGCAAGGTGGGATGATTTTTTTTTTTTTTTTTTTTTTTTTTTTTTTTTTTTTTTGGATCTGTATTTTGTAAAATACATTTTGTGCATGAAGTGCCCCTTTCCCGGTACTCCGCTCCACGGCCTGCTGGAGGCTGCCAGCCCCGCCTCTGCCTTGTGCTCTGAAGTGTCCCAAGTGTCCCCTTTGTGTCACCCCAGCCAGAGCCACTTTTTTTTTTTTTTTTTAAATTAAAAGACTTCCAATGTGAGATCAGCTCTTCAAGTCTTAGTCTGTACTGTAAGGTGCTGCTCAGACCTGTGTGGGGSTCACTCGCAGCACATGTGTATAAACTTTTTTTTTTAGATGGAGGATCTAACATTTTAATTTTGCGGGAATTTTTTTAATCCTGGTCTGCTTCTGAAAAGAAGGGTTCATAATTAATCTGTTTGCCTTTTGTTCTGTTTTTTAAAAACACACATTCTGTGACAGTGCTAGTGGCTGGGCCAGTTTACTCCCCATCCAGTATCTCCTGATTTAGTGCAGTGACACTTGAAGTTGAGGGCAGAGTTCGGATCACCTGCAGCCATCCCTGCGGCTTCTCCGACAGCTTCCGCCAATGTTTCCGCGTTTCCATCCCRGTGAAACCACGAGGAGCTTGTCTTGAACCATCAGCCAAAACCAAACCGCCTCGGCAGCGCTGCGGTAGCGCCCGGATGGCGCCGGCTGCCGTGGGAACCGGGGATGCGCAGGGGGGTCGGACGGACAAACTGGAGTGTGGCTCACCAATGCTGTCCCCTGCTCCCGCCGCGTCCTGCTCGTGTCTCTTTGTCCACATGCCTTACGCCGTGCTGAACTGGACACTTGGGATTTGTGCTGAAGCGTCGGATCGCGCTCGCTGCGTGCCACTGCCGCGCTCCGAGAACCACGCGYGCGTCCCCGAAGAGGAGTCCTGGGGGGAAATTCAGGTGTTCAGTCTCTTGTCCTGTGGTTCTGCAGCACTTACGGTCGCACCGTGGAGCGTGCTCGAAGTGTGCCCTCCGTGAAAGGTACAGCTGCCTCCGGCGGCATTGCCGGGGGAGCAGCACAGGAGAGCTCCCCGATGCGCTGGCACACTTCACACGGGGGTTTGTTGTTTTATTGCTGTAAGTTTCATGCTGTCTTGATTTGCCAACAGTGTTGTCTAGTTGGGAAATAAAATGGGAAGGGTTGGGGTTGGGGGGTGGGTTGGGACAGGTACAAGTTTTGGGAGGGGCATTAATTAATCCCTGGCTTGGGACAAGAAGTGGTTGCTGAGTTCAGTAACTTCTCTTTTGTCAGAGCAGAGCCAAGATGTGAAATTAAATCTGCAGTACTTTTTTTTTTTCCTTTTTTTTTTCCTGCTCTTTATTTAACAAAAAATATTCTAATAAACACTCACTGTTCCGGAGTTTTCTCTCTTCCTGAGAAGCGCTTACAATATGAAAATCTGATAGAAATATCCATGGAGCCTGGGACAAGGAGGAATGGTATCCTTGCTGGTTTGGCAAGAAGCTGTTCATTTTAAGATCCTCTTCTGTTCCTTTCCTTGTTCTCCCTGCTTTCATCGGTGTGGAGTAGCAAGGCCAAAAGCAGTGCCAGTGATCGCTGACATGGAAAACCACGCGTAAGGAACAGCCCATTATTCAAGGAGTAGCTCAAACCCAAGCGTCTGGAATTGAGCCTAAATTACACCAGTTCAGCTCACTTCAACTTAGAGACGAATGTACAATCCTTTCTCACTATGTGCTGTCAGCCTGAACCAAACTCTCAAAAAGGGCTTGAATATTCTATCTGGAAGTGTCCAAGAAATTCCCAGAGTCGCTGTCCCCGCGCCCTGCGAGGCATCTGACACAGCCATCTACTGCCTTCAACGAGTCTTGGTCTCTACTGTACAGATTAGTATGTTGGAAATGCTTTGCARCAAAACAGCTGGTACTCCTGAAAGAGTAACTGCAGTTTTAATATCAGCAGCATGCACACTTTTGTTTTTAAACTAAAAATGTTTTTACAGGGCTGTTAAACTGACAATTTAGGGTAGAATATTGTTAATGACTTGCTAATGGCTTATTTGTTTGGGTCAGAAAAAATAAATTGTGCCAAGAAAGTGTTTTAATGTGGCATGGATTGATGCTGTTACCACGGAGTGGCTGGTGTTATGCCTTGTAACTGAAAATGGCTCCTGGGGCAAGAATAGCCTTGATTGAAGAGATGCAGATTTCAGACCAGACCTTAGCYCTGCGCTCCCTCAACCTCTCCCTGCACCACACGATTCCCATCTTCCTCAGCATCTGAGGTTCTCTCWAAGCTGTACAGCTGCACCCCCAGCAGCTGGAGTGGTTTTATCTMAACTGGTGTTAACTGGTTTGGGACTGACAGTCGCCCTGTCTGTGAGAGGCACAGGGGAGCTGCTGGAGGGCGGCTCTGGCTCTGCAGCCTGGACCGTGCTGCTCAGTGTCACTGCTGGGGCCACTGACCATRCTGAATCCTGGAGAGTGAGCCTGGGGCTCGCAGCCAGGCTGAAACTGGTGCTATTCCCAGCTGGTAGTGTTGGATAGTGGGATTCTTTCCTCAGCTGGCCTGACTCCTACATGGARCATCACTCTGTGTCTCAGCATCCCTTGGGAGCAGGCCTCAGCTGCCTCAGCCCTGCTCTGCTCTCTGGGCACTGCTGAGAGGAGGATGTGACAGAGGATGTCCCCAGACAGCCAGTGAGTCACAGCAGGTGTAGCCCCACCTCATGGCAGGTCTCGAATGCTGGTTTGGGGTACAAGTGGAGGTGGGGGTGAGGGGCTGCTGCTCTTCATCATCTCTGGGCCCTGGGGTCCCTCTGCAGCTCCTTAGGGGCACAGTGATGTCACCGATGAGGTCACTTCTTCCCTTGCTGCTTTCATTCCTGTGGTCATGGTCCAAGGACACCCCACTTGGTACACCAAGAGGAGCAGGGGAACTCTACCCTCGAGTTTGGTGACTGCAGCACTGGGAGCAGGAGAAARGGGAAGTACACCCCTGGAGTATCTGTGTGTCCAAGTGCTGCTTGATCCTTCCAGCAGGATTTGTCAGATCCCAAAYCTTTCTGATGCTAAAGTTCAAGAGGCAGGTGGATGTCCCTCTGCAGAGAGAGCTGAGTGTAATGAAACCCGGTGGAGCTGGAATTGTATGGCTCTGGCTCTGGGGAGTCTCTCCCAGACAAGGATTTGTTGTAATGGAACAGGGATTTTGGTTCTTTGGTTCTTGGCAGCTTAGAAATCACCCGTGTTGGAAACCACACAGCACCTTGACTGAAGTGGTTACTGTCAGGCAGATTTTGATTTTCAGATGTGACTTTGCTCACGCTGAAGTTGTTCAAAGGCATATTTCAGAGGGAGGAGCCTTTTTGCAGTTCCGAGTAACCCTAGGTGGGGCTGGGGGATTTCCCTGCTGTGTGGMTGTGCTGGGCCACTGCTGGGCTGGGAGGTTCTGCCTTTTCCTGGGAGAGAAGAATGAAAGGAGCATTTTWTTTTTCATTCTCCCTGAAATGTGGCGTTCAGTGATGTTAAGGTACCTCTGGTGGCTTCCCAAAGATGGATTGTGTGCATGGTTTGTTGGAACCTCAGTGTCACAGCTGTGCCTCCCCATCTCAGCACAGGGTTGCCACTTCCCAGAAGCACTGGTTGAGCTGTCCATGCTCTGTGTGGTCAGCAGGGCCAGCACAGCCACTGGAAATTCACCTCTTGGCAATTCACCTCTCCAGGTACAGCAGAACATTCCCTGGATGTGGAATTAACAGCTCCTGTGCAAACTAAAAAGAATTTTTTTTCAAATGGAAAATGTATTAGACTTTGGGCTGTAAAGCCACCTGAGGACCGAGGCAGTGAGAGCAGGGAGGGGACATGGTGGCAGTCTGGTTCCAGCTTAGCCAGGTGGGTGTGTTCTGGGAATAAACWGAGGAAGGGAGCAGACCCTGAGGGCTGCACCCACCCATGGGTGCTGGGGAGGTGGCACCCAGCCATCCTGCTGTGTCCCCTGGTGCTGGGGGAAGGTGGGAAATGGATTTGGGGCCTGGAAGGAATGGCAGTAGCAGCATCTCCACTGTCTCTGTCCTGCGTAGAAGCGTGTTGGGAGCTCTTCCCTCCTCTCCTGTGGAGCACTGAGGCAGCTCATTCGGCCTGAGCTGGAATGTGCCTTAAAGCAAACTCTGTAAAGGGAAAAATGAAAAGGGATTGGAATCTGCAAGTGTTGCTTTTTCCCTTGTGTGGCCACAAAGTATTCAGTGGCTAAAAATGTGGGYAGGGAATGTCAGGAATCCTCAGTTCCCTTCCTGGATCTAGCAGGAGCTTTGGGCCTTTGCCTCAGCTTTTCCATGCAGAAGCTGTGTTCAGCATTCCACAGCTCATGGGTCACTCCCAGACATCGAAATCCTGGAGGCTGCAGGGGTCCAACGAGTGCCCAGTTACAAAAGCTGTAGGTTTTCCTGCCTGTTCTCTCTTTTATCCCAAACTGACATTTTTGTGCTTTCACACAGCATCCATTGCTGTGCAGAGCACACCGGGGGAACTAGGGGTTGGTGAGGGCTGGTTTGGGGTTTGACTCTCCTGTGTGGAGCCTGTGGCTGCTGCTGGGGGAGGATCAGAGCTGTATCTTCAGCCAAACCCGCCCCAAGCAGTGACAGTTGCTGTGTGAGGAGCTTTTCCCTCTGGGTGACCCAGTGCCTGCTCTCCTCTTGCTCCCAGGCTGGGTTTTCCCTCCTGGCTCTGTTCTGCTCAGTAATGGCATCATCTGGTGGCTGCAACCCTGCAGGGACATGGTGGCCTCATGGCTGGGTTGTCCCTGGGCTGGTCCATGAGCCCCTGGCACACACAGGGTGTGATCCTCATTTTCCTAACATTGGAATCAATTAACCCAGCTGCCCTGTGCTCTGGAGATCCTGCAGTGCTGTGCTGGGGTGTCAGGAGTCTGTACATAACCAAGGTGTAGCTGGTGAAAAAGAAATTGAACTGGACTGAAGTTGTATTTAGGAGATTTATATATCTCTCTTTGGTGCTAGTCCATAGAGGTGTTTTTTGGTTGTTTGGTTGGTATTTTTTTTGTGGGAAGGTGGGAATTTTGACGTTATACTTGATGAATTGGCTCTAGAATTGCCTCAGGAATGAACCTGGGGAGGTCTGAGAGTGTTTGTTGAAGTTCCTGTGTGTCCTATTTTATATTTATTAAATCAGAAAATCTGGAATGATCACTTTGCATTTGCTGCTCAGTCCTTCCATGAGCTCTGTGTACATGGGGCTCCTGGCAGCCCCCGAGGTTGGCTGAACAGGGCCCGAGACCCCGGCTGAGGGATGAATGACCAGGGTCCATTGTCCAGCCTCCTGTCCATGGGTGTATCTGCCTGAGGCTTCTCCTTTCCTCCCCAAAACAAGGAATCTCCATGGCTGGTCAGACCTGCAGYGCTTTGACTGTCTCTGGTTCGTGTCTGAACCTTTGAATTCCCCCCCAGGACTGAGCGTGGGACTGGCCTAGGCAATGACCTTGGTGTGAGAGGATTCTGGAAAGGTTCTGAACCCTTCCAGATACTGATCCACGTCAGCCAAATGTCCAGGCCTGGGGTGGGGGCTGATGGCAGCCACAGAGCCTGGTGAGGGATCCCTGGGTGTCATGCTCCATGGATGGTGGGATCATTTGGGATGTGGTGGTGTTGGTTGGGATGTCATGGGGTCGGTTGGGATGTGATGGGGTCAGCTGGGATGTCTCAGGGAGGTTCTTGTGCCACTCCTGCCACCTGGCTTTCACGGGGAAGTGTCAGCAAGTTTGAAGAAGGAAAACTGATGTAGGGAACAAACTTGCTGCTTTATTAGGATTAAAAGAAGCCTGATGTTGTCAGTGATTTTCAATGAGTTACAAGTGAAATGCTCAATTCTCTGTGAATTCAACATGGTTTTGTGCTTGTAATTCCCATAATCTGTTTGGGTTTATTTTCCTGGCTGCAGATCTCCATTCGTCACTCCAGCTCTGGGTGTTTCTAATCTCCTGGTAAACTTCACATGAGGGGGTCATGATGAATTAAACGGTTTGCAGAAACACTTTGCAACTGCAGAGGCCCTTTGGGAATGGAGCATTGCAGCAAATGCTTTTACTCTTTCTCACTGTCTCGTTCTTTGTTCAAAGTCACATGAGTGAATTAGAAAACACGTCCTGTTTCCTTTGGGGCTCCATCTCAGTTGGAGCCTCTGGATAACGTGGGTGTTCTCCTGCTCCTGCTCAGTCCTGGCTGGCAGGTGCAGGACATACCTGTGTCATTCTGACCTTTCATCCACAGTGTCTCCAGAAAGGCTGGAGGGCTCTCCTGCGTGCGGAGCCGGGTGGTGCAGCAGGGTCCTGTCATGAGGGGTTTCCTCTGTTGAGTTGTGTGTGAGGGAGAGGCTGTCACTGTCTTTAAAAGAGTAAAAAATTGAAAAAAATAAAATTGGTGGATGCCAGTTTGCCTAGAGTGTGGGCTGTAATTAGTGCCAACCAATAAACACGTCAGTATTTCACACGGCTCTGCCTCCTGCCTGGTCTCTTTGTCCCTGTGCTGTTCCCTACATACGTGAACTCGGACATCAGGCAATGGTGTCACCCAAGGAGAAGGCCCTCCCTGCAGTGGTTTGGGACAGTCACAGCCTGGAAGAGGAACTGGAGGGATGTCACCAACAGCCTGCTGTTGAGATGGGTTCGCTGATATAATTACCCTGCAATAAAATGGGGCATTTTAAGGGGAGAGCCTCCTGGATGCCTCTGAATCTGCTCCCACCTCTTTCACAAAATCCCGAGAGCACCAACATCCCCGGCATCACGTGGTGCTGATGGCACTGCCAGCCTGGCCACAGAAAGGTGAGCTCCCACATTTCCCTGCAAAGCAAACGCATCCTGGTGTGGAGACCCATCCATCCCTAAGCGCGCCTTTGCCAATTCTCTTTGGGATCTGGATGTGACCCGGCTCTTCCTGCAGAAAACACAGGGGCTGGTGCACGACAGCCTCATGTTGCAGCTGCGGCGCGGAGCCCAGGGCAGAATTAATCCGTGCTGACGGCGGCGTTAATGCCTGAGCGGGCGAGCGGCGAGGCAGAGCCGGGGCGGCTGTGCCCCTGCRGGGACGGCGGCACCCGGCCCCCCACGCCGGCATTTCTGGCCGGATGAGCAGCCGGAGGGATGCGCTGGCTGGAAATCCGGCCACTTGTGCTCAGCTGCTTAAACGGGAGCTTAGCGGCTCAGCAAAGCTGTCCCCAATTATGTGCGGTACGGGGAGGGGGCTGATGTCTSACASCGGGGTTTGGGGCAGAAATAAATAYCCTGTGGTGCTATTCCAGCTCTCCTCACCTGCTCTGCCCCCTGGCTGAYGCCCCTTCCATCTCTGTACGAAGGTGCCTTGTCCCCAGGATGGGTGGCGATGTTGCCTTCAGCCTCCCTGACATCCTTYCCCACCCCAGAGTAAGAAAGGGGGCAATTTTTCCAGGATTGGGCAGCTCCTGCGCTGCCCCAGCCTTGACTCCCCTATTTCCCATCTGGATGCTCTGGAAAACAGTGGGTGGGGGAAAAAAATATTCATGTGGGATCTGGGGATGCTGCAGGTGTCCAGAGCTGGCTCTGGCCATGTGGAGGGGCTTGGTGACCCCCTGGTCTGCTCCCAAAGATGCTGCTTCCCCTGGACCACACATGCTCCTCCTGACCATGTGCTCCTACTCGCTCATGCTCTCCAAGGAGCTTTCCTAGAAACTGATGGATTTATTTTTAGCCCTGGCACAGCAGGGTTCAGCTGGGAGGGGATGGGCAGTGGCGGATGGTGGCCTCATAGAAGGCCCCTGAACTGGGGGGAACTGGGGGTCCTGTCCCACTCTGTGGTTCCCCCATTGCAGTGGGAAACAGGGGGCTGGGGGGCTGGAGTTGGTTTAGAAAGRGTCTCTGAGGCAGGGAGAGTCAACACAGACAATGAGACCAGTGCCTCTGCTGGGAAGAGTGGGGTCAGCATGGGCTGGTGGGGTCMGTGGGACCCCTGGGGACAATGGGACACTGGAAACAGCAGCTGTTGGCCCCTCTCAAGACAGCTGGTACCCTTTTCCAGGCTGGAGAGGAGAAAATAACCCTGCATGGGCTGGGCAGGGGGTGAGAGCAGCAGCGCTGGGAGTGGTACAAGCAGCAGTGTGGGCAGGATATGGGCCATGGTGCAGTCAGAGGTGTAGGCAGAAGTGCAGGGTGGGTGCGGGCAGGGTGCGGGCAGGGTACAGACAGAGGTGTGGGCAAGGTACAGACAGAGATGCAGGCAGGGTGTGGGCAGGGTGTGGGTGGGGTACAGACACAGGTACAGACAGGATGTGGGCGGGGTACAGACAGAGGTATGGGCAAGATACAGGCAGGGTAGGGGCAGAGTACAACCGGCTGTGCCATGGGTGAGCTCATCCCAGCGGCTGTGGACCAGGAGCTGCTCTTCTCCACCAGCTCAGGTGGCTCTGGATGCTCCGCAGTGGCTGGGCCCTGTCCTGCTGCCAAGTCCAGGGGCTGTGTCCCCCCAGTTCTGCCATGTCCAGGCTCCTCTTTCCCCTCATTCCACTTATTGTTTGTCGCTGTTGGGCAGCACAGCGGGGCCTGGTGCTTCCCGGTGTCCCCCKCTCCCTCCTGACCCACTTAGCAGGACCATCTGGTCCCTGCGGGCAAAGCGGATTAGCCCTGCGGCCGGGATCAGGGCTGGGGTACTGCCACCACCATGGGTGACACCGCTGTCACTGTCACAGCCCCAGCCTAGGTTCCCCACGGGTCCAGCCTGGGGGACTTTGGCCACAGCAAGAGCCCCTGGCCAGGGACCCACAGCAGCCTCCAATGGGGGTGACCCTGCCCATGTTCCTGCATCCCCTGGGACCCAGCTGGCCCTGGTCCTGTGGGTCAGTTGTCTCACACCATATCTTTATCTCCATCTGTCCATCC